CAGGGAATAACTCCAAGGTTGCTTTCTTGGAGATATAATCTAGTGGTTTTAAAACTGCCACAATGCCCCTGTGAACTAAAAGACGTCTATTTTCAGACAAGGAATGTTGTCAGGTTGCAACTGTTACATTTGTCTGGCGCAATGCAGTTTTAAGACTCAGATTTCAGTGTGCTATGCAATTTCAGTCTATCAACTGTTACTAATTAATTCTTCTGTTTCTTTCTTTCCTTCTCCAGATGTGTCTTCACTGAAGAGAAGAGCCCTCATTAGATTTTTTCCAGGCATTCTTACAGCAATAGCTTGAACACTGTCAGCTTTGGGCTTTCTTAAGTTATATTGTTTTTGTTTTTTTTTTCTTTTCTTTTTTTCAATTCCGTTATGAAATCCTGTCTATTTCCTCAACTTTTCTGTCTTGTTTTTCTGTATAGATTCTGATTATTTCTGGAAGAGAGCTCATCACAGCACATGCACCTCTAGGCTTTTTTCAGTTAGCACCATCTTGGAGATAAAAAGCAAATCTGAGTATGAGATTTGATGTATTGGGGAGAATCTAGTTGCATACGTCCTTCCTAATGCATGGTAATGCTGGCATGAGTTTATATCTTGGACACTGGTGGTTGTGTTGCTTTCTCCAGCCTTTCTGCTCCCAAAGCAGTGTTTATTACTTGTGAAATAATGTGTATGATTCTGGATTTGGAGACTCGGTTCTTGTGCTGTGCTGCAGAGGATGGGTCTGTTAAGCTTTATGCAGTCTTTTTCTGGGAGGGAGGCGGGGGGATGCTTTGTTTATTTTTCCAATAGTATTTAAAAATGTTTGGCACTGGTGGTCTTGGTGCATTCATTGCCGGCAATGAACTTTTAACCAGGAAAATCTTCCTGGAATAGAAGAGTTAATCTGGAACATGATCTGCTCTAACTGTGACAAGTCACTCTGCAGGGATGCAATTAACTTGGATCATGTGAAAAAAAGCAAAACTGTCAGGAAAGCCCATCATTGCTTGAAACGAGGCGTAACTGTTGGCCCTTTCTATGCCAGTGTTTACTGGTGCTGCTTCTTGGGCTGGGAAACTTCAACTCCTTGCATCAAGGGGGAGGTACAGAACAGAAAGTGAACTACTTTCAGATGCTGCCTTTAAAAGCTCCCGTTGTCGTTTACCTTGGACTGAACAGTTCATGGTACTTTTTCTTTGATTTGTAGTGGAGCCTTCCTTTGCCTTTTTTATATGGCGGAGCCACGTGTCCCGCACTCAATGCAATACAGAAGTGCTATTTCCTGAGGGAGGGGTTTAGCAACTTGCCTACAGTGTTACTTGATGTAGTTTGTAGAAGTGTGCTGTCCTATGATGATGAGCTCAGCTTTGCAGTCTTGGGGTGGGAAATGCACTCTTTTTTTTTTCTTTTTTTTTTTTTCCTGCCTCTTGCTGCAGTGTAAGCAACACAGTTTTTGGTCTCTGATAATTTAGAAGAAAGGAAGAAAGTTACTCAGTTGTCTGAAGTGTCATATATTCAGAAAACTTCAGTTCATTAAAGTTTGGGGAAAGCTGTATGTGTCAAGCCAGGCTGAGTACTAACTCTTGTGTTATCTGGTGCCAAACTTTATTAAGCACTGTTCTGTCATCTTAAGTGACCTTTTCCAAATTCCCTCTTGCTTTATTCCTTAATTATTTCAAATATACATTGTAAATCTTCTTTTAGCCAGAAAAGCTTTAAGCGTTCTCTGTGTGTGTCACTTACAACATCTCTTGCCAACTGAGATGCTCTCTGTTCTGAGCAAAATGCCAGTCATAAAATGGCTGACTCTAGCAATGTAAGGTCACTTGTTACCTGTAGCACAACTTCCTTTTCTTTTTCCTGAAATATCTTTATTTTGGCCAAAATTGTGCAACTGACTTCGTCATTAAATGAGTATTTGTAATAAAATAACTAGGCAAATGCTTGCTATATTACTTCTGTAACTCGGAGAAAAAGGATGTAAATGTAATATTGTCTACCTTACAATTTTTTTTCTAGCTTGCATTGGCTAATTAGCCTCACAGTGGTTTTAAGACATATGTTTTTGAAGTTCATTCCTCATCTGTCTTTGCTCCAGCCCTGCTCAGGCCCTGGTGCAAGCTTCAGACCTGGGCTGCAGGCTTGGGGCCTGGGTGAGTTGTAGCGGCAATTTCATTTTTTTGAGTTGTTGGAGCCCTGTGATCAGCTCTGGGGTCCCCAGCACAAGGACACGGACCTATTAGAGCAAGTCCAGAGGAGGCCACAAACATGATCAAGGGGCCGGAGCACCTCTCCTGTGAAGGCAAGCTGAGGGAGCTGGGAGAAGAGAAGGCTCAGGGGCAGACCTTACACCAGCCTTCCAGTACCTAAAGGGAGCTGCAGGACAGCTGGGGAGGGACTCTTTGTCAGGGGGTGTGGTGATAGGACAAGGGTGAATGGCTTTAAACTGAAAGAGTTGGTTTCCATTAGATAACGAGAAAATTCTTCACCGTGAGCGTAGTGAGGCACTGGCCCAGGCTGTCCAGAGAAGCTGTGGATGTCCCACCCCTGGAAGTGCTCAAGGCCAGGGTGGATGCAGCTTTGAGCAACCTCAATGTCGTTGCCCATGGCAGAGCCCCCAGCCCATGCTGCACACCCCGTGTCCCTCCCAGACGCTGCTCCTGGACCCTCAGCACCAGGTGGGCCTGCAGCGGCCTCTCCTGCTGGCCCTGCAGCCTTCCCAGCCTCTGCCTGCCTGCAGGGGCCCTTCTTGCTCTGGGATGGTTTTGTGCCTGTTTTATGGAGTGCAGCAGGATCCCCCGGAGGTCTGGCAGAGAGGAGATGAGTGTGGTGCTGCTGTGGGGCTTAGCAGGCAGTGGGACAGCTTGTCCTTTCTTGCAGAGTAAACCCTGGCCAGTGCCTCACCCTGGGGAGCAAGGGACCCCGAGTCCACTCCAGTGCTCCATGGCCCCTGCCCAGTGCTCCCACCCATGAGCTCCCAGCACAGAGCAGGACTGTGACCCTCCGGGAGCCCACGGGGTCTGTGCCCAGCTCATGGGGGAACAGTGCAGTGCCCTGATAAAGGTAACGTGCTCCAGGCAGGGCTGGGCCCTGAGAGCAACCTGCTCCTGGAGCAGGAACTGGAAACGCAGGGGCTGGGTGAGCGGTGAACTGCCCACTGTAGGAGAGGGTCAGGTGTGAGACAGCTGAGGGACTTGAAGGTGCACAAATCCATGGGCCCTGGTGAGATACATCCCTGGGTCACGAGGGATTTGGCAGATGTAGTTGCTGAGCCACTGTCCCTCATATTTGGAAAATCATGGCACTGACAGTTCCCACTGACTCATCATGCCTAACAAATCTGGTGGCCTTCTATGATGGGGTTACAGCCTTGGTGGATAGGGGAAGATCTGACATCATCTACCTGGATTTGTGCAAAGCATTTGACATGGTTCTGTACAACATACTTGTCTCCAACTTGGGGAGCCATGGATTTGATAGATGGACCACTCCGTGGGTAAGGAACTGGCTGGATGGTTGCACTAAAGGGTTGTGGGCAACTGCTCCATGTCCAGGTGGAGATCAGTAACAAGTGGTGCTCCTCAGGGGTCAGTTCTGGGACCAGCACTATTTAACATCTTTGTTGGTGACACAGTGAAACTGAGTGCACGCTCAGCAGGTTTGCAGGTCACACCGAGCTGTGTCATGCAGTCGACACGCCAGAGGGAAAGGGTGGATGGGAGCCAGAGGTGGGCCTGTGTGAACCTCATGGGGTTCAGCAAGGCCAAGTGCAAGGGGCAATCCCAAACATGGATCCTAGGCTGTGCAATGAGGGGATAGAGAGCAGCCCTGCAGAGGATAGGGTGGATGCAAAACTTGACATGAGTCAGCAACGTGTGCCTGCAGCCCAGGCGGCCAGCCATGTCCTGGGCTGCACAAAAAGTGTGGCCAGCAGTGCAGGGAGATTCTTTTCCTTTGCTCTGCTCTCATGAGACGTCACCTGGAGCCCTGTGTTCAGCTGGGGGGCCCCCAGCACAGGAAAGACATCATAGACCTGGTTGGTTAAGTCCAGCAGAGGCCACAAAGATGCTCAGAGGGCTGCTCAGAGGCTGGAACACCTCTCATGTGAAGACAGGCTGAGGGAGTTGGGGTTGTTCAGCTCGGAGAAAACTCCAGGGAGACCTCACAGAGGCCTTCTAGTACCTAAAGGGGGCTACAGGAAAACTCTGTTAGGGACTGCAGTGAGAGGACAAAGGGGAATGAAGATAGGTGGAAATTCTTTACTGTGAGGGTGGTAAGGCCCTGGCTGCCCAGAGGAGCTGTGGGTGCTCCATCCCTGGCAGTGCCCAAGGCCAGGCTGGATGGGGCTAGGGGTAGCCTGGGCTGCTGGGAGGGGTCCCTGCTCATGGCAGGGGATTGGAATTGGTCTCTAAGGTCCTTTCCAGTCCAAGACAGTCCGTGAGTCTATGCCAGAGGGCCCTGGGTTGGCTCCAGAAAGGCAGTGCCACCCATGGAGTCATAAAGCGCCTCCAACCTCTCAGAAGTGGTGCAGGACCTGCTGTACCCGCTCCCCCCCCAGCAGTGCCTGTGGGGCAGCCAGGGATCTGTCCGTCTGTCCTGCCCCACTGCCTGACCCCATTCCCATAGCGCCCAGACATGCCCCCACAGCAGGTACCTGTGGAAATGCTGACAGGGGCCCAGCTATGCACCCCCCCCTCCACCCCCAGTGCACACAATCAGCAGTGAGGAAACGTATTTAGTTATTCTTTTATTTATAAAGAAATCAACATAAAATAAGTGCAGAGGAAAGCACTGGCTGACCCCGCATGGGGACCTGTCAGCAGCGGGCCAGCGGGATCAGAATCGGATACAAACGAGGGGCATCCCAGGGCCAGTGCTGGGAGTGACGGGGCTCCGTGAAGTGACCAGAGTCCCACCTCCCTCTGAAGACACTGGTGCAGGAGCAGGGAGTGCAGCAGAGACCTTGCTGTACAACAAAAAGCCTTTTCATTTAGGGCTTGCGGCTTATATTTTTTTTTTGCAACTTTCCCCTTAGGGGTAAACCTGACCCAGTGCAAGAGACTGGAGAAGAGACCGGCTTGCCACGGGGACCCTTCCTGCTGCTGCCCAGGGCCCTTGAGGGTTGCAGGGAAGGGTTTGTGAGACGTTCTCTGTATGAAAAGAGGGTGACCTAATGGCAGAAGTGCTTGCAATGGAGATCCCCGTGCCCCCTTTGGTCATTGCAGGAAGGAAGCGCCTGTGCACCGGCTGCACGGCAGCGCTCCCCAGTCAGCCCTGCCCCAGGGCAGGAGACGCGGCAGGGACCCAGCGGCCCGGGCCTGGCTCCCCGGGGATGCAGTTTTGGCACAAGCGGGCAGCCTCCGCTCGGGTACTTCTGCAGCTGCAGTAACGTATCTGGGACAGAGGATTACTGCTCAAGTGCCATCAAAAATAAATACATTAGACTGTCTGAAACAAACAGGTGCCCCTGGGCAGGGCAAAACCCTCACAGAAAGAGCAACGCAAGGGCTGGTCACCAGACCGGGATCCTCTGCCTTGCCAGACCCGACAGCCTCTTGCCAATGCCGAGCTGGGACGGAGCGAGACACAAGAGGACCAGGAGGGTCCCTGGGAAGACGAACCTTTGCACCTCTGACTAAACCAAGAGCTGCAAGTTCAACAACAGGTACAAAAACATTTTAAACAGAAAACTCCTTATTAAAAAAAAAAAAAAAAAAGAGAAGAGAAAGAAAAGCGGGAGAGAAGGATCAGTTGAGTCCTACAGCATCCAGCCAGCCTTCAATGCTGACCCAGATGTGTCCTTGCCACGGGTACGCTAGACCCAGACACGCTCCTTGGCTCTCCCGTGGCTCACTCCATCTCCTTGGCCGCATGGCGTCCCCAGCTTCCCCAGTCAGAAATAAATACGAAGGCCTTCCTCACCAGCCTGGCGGCCCCAGCACATGGAAAGCCAGGAGGGGAGGGGCAGGCAGTGCTTGGGCCGTGAGGGTGCCCCGGAGGGGGCAGATGGGCTCTTGTGGAAGACGGGGAGCGGGGTGGTTGCTGCTCTAAGCCAGCCGCCATGCTACGAGGGCCGAGTGCGGTCGCAGGCGCTGTCCCTCTCACAGGCTGCCCACGGGGGCACAGCAAAGCGCAAAGCGTCCGAGGGGGCCGGGCACCACGGGCCACCTGGGGCAGGCGAGGCCAGGAGAACAGGGCCAGCTGGGTGCTCCTGCAGCACAGCGAGAGGGAGAGGAGCCAGCACAAGTCCTGTCCTGAGGTCTCTGCCACTGCTCCTGCCCAGAGCAGCTCCTCAGTCCCAGAACGGTGGGACTGGAAGCCTGCAGAGTGGCACCAGCTCGGTGCTTGGACGTCCACGACGTGCTGGGTGCGGAGCCCAGGGCCAGCCGCGTGCCGGCCTCCTTGCCAAGGCCTGCGGGGCCTGGCTGCCGGGGGCAGGGGCGGACGGCTGGTCCCTGCAGCAGGTTGGGGTCGGAGAGGCGTCCGTCGGCAGCGTGGATGGGTGTGTGTGCATGCGTACCTGTCTGCAGGTGAGTGCGGGTGTGGGTGGCCAGGAGCAGAGCTTCCAGGATCTGTCCTGCCAAGCGTCCTCTCAGAACTTGCCTTGCTTTAGCTTGTCAATGTGGTAGGTTAGCTTTAGGGCTGGCCCCAGCTTCAGCCCCATGTACTTCATCATCATGTCGCTCCGCAGCAAGAGCAGCGCTTTCCCGTCGATCTCCTGCAAGGAGGAGAAACAGCACCTGTCAGAGCCCTGTTCAGCCCTCCAGCCTCCCAGTATCCCAGCTGCCCAGGGAAACACAAACCAATGGACAAGCGAGGAGTGCCTTCTGGCTCTGGCTGCTGCTGGCACCTCAGGACAGGCAGGATTTTGTTCTCATGGCTCATTCATGTTTGCGTTCGTCAAGCGTGAACTGTTGCACAAGCAGCCCAGCAAGCTGTACTGCTGACAGGTCCCTGCCCAAACCCTGCCTGTTAGCCAGGCTGTGCCCACAACACTGACGGCTGAAACAGCACAGTTAGCACAGCGCATCGTTCAACAGCAAAGGAGGCGGCTTGTATGTAGCCTCCGCATCCTGGTGTGGGCATCCTGCCCCCAGCCCTGCCTGTGGCACAGGGGACATGGCCAGGACGCCACATGGTGGTGGCACACCTGCTGGACCCATGCTGTGGGGCAGAAAACGCACAGGAGCTGTGCTGAGCTGGTGGTCAGAACCCCCTGAGCAGAGCGGCCATGCTTGGGAGCAGCCTCTCACTCAAGGGCATTGATGCCTTGGTGCAGGGAAAATGTCCTGGGAAAGGATGTGCCCTGAGAGCCATCCTACTGCCATGCACGCAGCACGCTGCTAACTAGACTTCATCATTTAGAGGTTGGACTCGATGATCTTGAGGTCTCTTCCAACCTAGAAATTCTGTGATTCTATGTGAAAAATAGCCATGGTGAAGTCAAGGCTGGAGAAACGAGGCAAGAGACAGAAATCTGTAAACCCAAAGAGAAGGCCACAATGTGCAAAGTTGTCTGGAGTCTCTAAACAAATGCCCTGCAGCTGGCAGGGAAGTGGAGCATCTCACCTCCAGAAGGCCTGGTCTCAGCAGCATGGCTTACAGAAGTACCTCCTGCCTCAGAGCGGAGCCAGACATGCCCCTCGCAGAGGCTCAAAGAGGGAAGGGATCATGAAGCTTGAAGAAACTGGGGAGCAGCTTTGCACTTAGCGTCTGCTAGCAGATGTTTTTCAGGCTGTCATCCCTTGCAGCACTCTTTTCCTTGGCTCAGAGCTTTGCAGTGGACAAGTTGCCATGAAGAAAATGTTTACTACTGCATTTACTTTTAGTAAATATCACAGCCTCTAACAATAGAAAACTCTGTCCTGTGTTGACACTCAGCTAGGTCTCACATCTAGCAGGATCTCCTGTACTGGATTTGTTCTGTTCTTCCTTTCCTGAAGTGAAAACTAAGCGCTTCCTCAGGACTGCCAGCACCAGGGGCTGTAATCCGTTAGTGGAGAGCTGAACACTCTTGCATAATTAAAATATTTTTCAATTACTGGTGATTCTAAAATAGAACTCATTAAGGAAAAAAAAAAAAAAAAGAGCAAAGAGCGCGTGTCTCAGCCTAGCACATGCCACACTTGCCTCTCCTCCTGCCTGGGGAAGGGCTCTGAACAGCCCCAGCTTGCAAAATCCCCACAGACCTGCATGGAGGTCTGACTCCAGCTGCACCACGAACACAGACGTGAGCACGCTCAGCACAGAAAGCCACGCTTGGGAGACACCGAGTGTGGGCTCCCCTTCCTGCAACGAGCCCTAAGGCAGTGAGGGGGGGAGATGCTTCCCCCGGCTGGCACACGAGCTGCGCCGCCTCCAGCTCACAGCAAGGACTTCCTCCCACTGCTTTTCTGACTTCACAGGCACTACCAGGCAGTGAACTGAAGGAAAAGGTAGAGGACAGACGAACTGGCAGGAACCAAGACATGAAGGTGACAAAATTTTTGTAGATTTCTTTGTACAAATTCCATGCTGTATATCTGCAGCTATTTTGCACTTAAAGGTATGAACGAAAATCAGAGCCTTAGAAGACCCCTTTTTATTGGAGTCTAACTGCAATTCACAGAGTGAATTCCACTTGGAACATGTTTCTTGCCAGAAGAAATTTGCTATGAAGTGAATTTTAGGATTCCAGGATGAAGAGTTTTGTGTGTTTTTGGTGCTACAATTCAAATCCAGCTCCAAGATGAGCTCTCTGCACGCACAAAGGCAGCATCACTGCAGCTTTAACCGGGCTGAGACGTCTTCCCCTCTGCAATTTCTGAGTGAGAAGATCCCAATCCCAGACGTGATTCAAGTAGGATTTTTAAGATATTTTCCTCAGCACAAAACTAGTGTGAAGTGCTGCCGTTCTGACTCCCCCAGACTTTCCTCATCAGGAGTATGTTCCCCACCCATATATAATACACACATACACACATGTGCATACACACACACACAGACATACTTACATGTTTTCGAAAGAGGTCAGCGTGGGGTCCCAGCTGTGGATCTGCTTCTCGAATGAACTGCATCACCTCCTCCACTGTCCAGGACGAGGGGTCTCGGCTGTTCAGCCGCGAGACATCCCGAGATCCAAGGTATCTGTCTGAACCTGGGGGTGTAATTTGCGAGACAGCAGCAGTTACTCCAAGTGTGACCGCAGCAGCGTTGCAGCAGACATTCACCCTAAGCTACCATTCAGTCTCCTCTTTCAAAGCACTGGCAGAGACAACGTGAAGGGCACAACCACGCCATACTCGAGAGAGTCCTGAGGCACAGGGCTAGCACCAAAGGACTTTCTCTCTCCATATGCCTTACTTCTGGGGCAGCCTTCTATATCTAGCCCTGTTACTCACCCTAAAACCCCACTTCCCATTGCCCTCGTCCTTCATATGAGGCTTGCTCCACATTCCCACTCTTCTTTGCCAAGCTGCTGTTTCCCTGCTTTGCAGACAATTCTCCACTCCCACTCCTCTCCCCGAGCACTGCTCCTGCCCTCCCCCCCTGCCCAGAACACCACCTTTAGCAGTTGTAACACGGCAAAGTTACTCTACATTTTCATCGGCTGCATTTTCTGTTGGACTGAGCCCACGTTCAGAATTCTGTTGCCTTGAAACACTGCCTGAGCTAACACAATCCTGCTCTCAAAGCGCTGGCCTGGCACAGCCAGTTGTTTCAACTCCCATGCCTGTATGCACAGATGGGGGGGAAGCAGACAGATCGCGGCATCAGCAGCCTGAGCTTTTTAGAATCTTTTACTGACACCATGCACACGAAATTACAACTTTTTCTTGCAAACACCTGGATTTGATACGTGATTTACTGCAGTTAACAGCTCTCCTGATGCTATTCCTCTACACAAGCACCGTTAGTGCATCCACCCATCCTCCTGGCCACCCCCGCCAGCTCCCACCCTAACCAGACAGTTCCCATCGCACTGACCGCTCCCCAGCCATCCTCGCTGACACCCAATTACCGCTCTGACAGCCCCTGCCCATGCTCACAAATTCATCTCCTGCCTGCTCCTCCCTGTCCACTGCCTTCCACGTCCCAGCTGGTCACCAAGCCACAGAGCTGACCCTGCGAGCACCTCCTGGCCGTATTTCCACCCACCCATCTGCCACGTCTCTAGAACTACTGTTAAACCTAACAGACTACCTGTTTAACAGTGTAGAGGCCAGTCTCTGGTACTTGCTGAAGTTAGAAAGATGTAACTGCAGTTAGAAAAGCCCTTTATTGCCAGATTTACAATCGGAGGGCTGGCTTCTTAACTCTCTTACCCCCAGAGCTAAGCCTACGCAAGGCAGAGGTACTGCCCTGAGTGAGGCTAGAGGGTTGGTGCAGGTGCCTGTATCCTTGCAGGCGATAGTCTCTGGAGCTCCTGCTGTGGCTGGATGAATTGACAGAGTTCAAGGCAGAGTCCATGGGGTCCAGGCGAGGCTCCAAGGGCCCTGGGAGGCCATCTCCCAGAACAAAGGTTTCACCTGGAACGCACCAAGCTGCAATCAGTGCACATGAATGCCACGCAGCCCCACGTCACGGCTCAAGAGCAGTGAGCAGAGCCGCGGCAAGGCAGCACCATGCAGGGCGTACACGCGGCTGCAGGAGCAGGTGTCACACCGCTGCACTGAGGGGCTCCTCCAAAGTACCCAAACTGCAATATGCACGCCTAAAGCACTGCGGCCTGGTGTTTGCCTGGCAAGCTCCAGTCCAACCAGGGAGCAGCGGTAACGGTTGATACCCAGATTTGAGCAACAGCTACTCTGCTAATGCCACCACCAGCTCCAGGTTGCATTCCTGCAGCCTCTTACTGCTTCCACGACTGCTTTGAGCTGGGAGAGGAAGCTCCCTGCATTTCAGACTCAAGGCCCACACATCATGGGCATCAGTGTGCAAGGGAACGGCCTGGGCCATTGGGACTGTGGGGGTATTTAGCCAGACTCATGCCTTGGAGTGGACAGCAGCACACACAGAGCAGGAGGGAGCAGCAGGCTCCTCCGAGCAGCTCACCTGCCCCATCATGGCCAGCAGTGGCATGGGGCAGCACCCAGAAGTGGGGATCAGCTGTGCACCCCTCCTGCCTTGCGGCTGGGCCCTTCAGTGCACAATGAAGCTGGTGACCAGCACCCATCGCTGGGGCAGGACAGAAGGCTCTCCCCAGGCAGGGGTCCAACTGCCTGCTTGGCCTCCTCACCAGCCCTTCCAGGGTGGGGAATGGAGAAAGCTGCCCTGGATGATGTTCCACTGAGATCTGCATACCAGCAAGTGAACCTCTGGGCAAGATTTCCCTTTGCTGTTATACTGGGATGGTTACATCCTAGGACCACGTTTGTAGGTTTTACTATGGCACAATGCAACCTAATCTCAGTCCAGGTGGAGCTGGTGCTTTATGAATCATCCTCAAATTCTTGGGTTCTTTATCATGAAAAACCTGGCAAGTTTGCACAGCTGGAAAGTGTCTCCTACGAGGCGTGGTTCCTGTGTACATGTACTCCTCTGGGCTGTGCCACTGCGCCTGGCTGGAAACTGCAGCACCTTCACCAGCACCCACCCAAACGCTGCAGCAGGCTGCGAGGAAGGGGAAGCCTTGGGAGCTGCTCCAGCAGGAGAAAATCCAGCACAACTGGTGCTGAAGTGGGATGGTGGTGCGGGTGCTGAGCTGGCGTCACAGCCCATGAAACCCAAAAGTTCTGCCCAGGCATTTCTGCTAGGCTGACGCTTTTATGCTCCAGAGAAGGGAGATGCAGCTTGCCTGAGCCCAAACCCAAGTGCTCCAGAGGCTGGGCCCTGCCAACCTTCTCCTGGAAGCAATTTACTTTCTTTGTTTCCTATGAACTCCAAGGCTATTCTGTGAAGTGGGATCCTCTGTTTTTGGTGCTGTTGCTGTCTGTATTTGAGCAGAGAACCCAGGGGCAAGCTCAGCTGTGGGTGGGCAGACCTCAGCTTGCCAGGCAGCACCTCATTATGTCGTAAGATACAAACACCCCTTTTTGCCTGGCTGCTCAGCAGTCCAGTGAAGCAGGTGTGAGCTTATCACCTTCATAAATGCAATGCTCCATCTTGTGAGTTTTGCTGCTCTGCATCTGAGGCACTTCTGCATTTATTTGCTCTTAGGCCACTGTGATGTTCTTAGAAACCAACAGCACATCCTTAAGGAGCAGAACCAGTGCTCATGTAAAGACTGATACTCTCTGGGTGATGTTTGCTGGCCGGCGTGCCAGCAGTTTCCCATGTGGGAAGATGTGTTTTCACTTGCTCTCTGTGAATCAGACAAGGGGTTCTGATTCATGACTGTTCCTGAATAACTCTGCACTCCTCCGTCACTCCTGTTCCACACTGGAACAGCACAAAACTGGGTGCAAACCCAGCACTGAGCTGGCTGCCTGCTTCCAAGGCAGACTGAGACTCCCTGTCCTGAGCCCAGACACGCAGTGGATGCGATTTGCACCACTGGCTCTTCATAGGAGCCCCTTCGCAGAAGCTACCTTGGGTTTCCTCTCCAACATCAGGACAGTTTTTCTTGAAACACAAATCACTTCCCATTTCATACACACTTCTTGGAACATCTGTGCAAAGGGTTACGTCTGACTCCTGGAACGTGCGGTGGCGTGAGAGCAGCTGGGGGGCACAGCCTGCTGCACCGCTCTGCGTGCCTTGTGGCAGGACAGGGGCAGGCACAGCAGAGATATGGCACAGGCAGGGGTCTGTGCAGCTCAGCTCCAGCCTCCAGGGAAACACGACTCCCTCTGCGAGTGACGCACAGCCTCAGCTTGCCAGGAAGCCCCAGATGTGCTGGGTCAGGCAGAAGTGCGTGTCCAACTGCTAATGACGACACCGAAGCTCATGCAGAGGGATGTTTGTCAGCAGAATTTCAGAGCTCGGCTGGAGAAGGCTGCAGCTTGGGAGGCTGGAAGACCACATGCATAGGTTCGTGTCGGTGCAACACTAAGGATCCAGAACTCACCCTCGAAACATATTTAACTCAACAATTAACACGCTGTCATTATTCTGACGTGAATGCTCTGTGATGCGTTCTTCAAATATGTGATCATGTTCTCACACGTGCTCATGATCAAACATCCGAAGAAGAGCATGCAGCCACACAACTTGGGAGCACTGCTTTTTTGCCTAGAATTAAAGCTGCACACTCATCCTCAGGTTCCCTGTCTCAGGGTTGGTGAGTGCTTGGTTGTGCTGTAAATACTGCAGCAGAGCTGGAGGCTTCTTGGTAGGGTCAGTGCAAGAGAGGTCTCGAACTTTCTTAAAAATGCAAACACACAGGGAGCTGCTTACACAAATGATACCGTCAGAGAGGGGAGAGGGAAACAAAGCAAAGGGAAAATTTTGACTAGCTCTGTGAATCAGCTACAGCAGAAGACAACATGCTTCTGCAGGTGGCAGCGCACAGACTGCTTTCAGGCACACACACTATCCAGAATCCTTCTGCCCTTGATAACTAGTTTTTGGAGGGAGGAGGAGGTGGTTAATTCTTAGGCAGATTTCTTATATGAACTGCTAGTTTTAAATACAGGCTTGCTTTTGGAGCATTGTAGGAAAACATGCCACAATTAGTGGTGGAGAGGCAGGGAGCAGATAATTAAAGTTTAATTAAACAAATAATGCTATAGATTCAAGAGTGCAGTTTTACTGCTAAAACACAGTTTGGCCACAAGCACAAATCTGATTTGCACAACTACTAAACACCCACTGTTTCCAACAAATGATAGTCTTTCAAAAGGGGGTCCCCACTGTGCTGGAACTGCAGCTTTTTAGCAAAAAGCTACATTAATAGCAGTGAGTGTAAGAAGAAAAACAATATATGAAGAGATCCCCTTCTTGTCTTTCTGCCTTCCTGTCAAGGGCACAATGAATGGAGACTTCCCCCTGCTACTCACTGCTGTCAGTTTGGCAAACTAGAAATAGCTCAGGTGCTGCAGTGTGCCACACCATGAGCAGACACCTCCTTGCTCAGGAAATACACCTATCTGAGTACTTCGGGCTCAAGTTCTTAAAAAACATTCTCTGAAATGCAAATATCCCTGCTTCTGCTTAAATTTCATAGTGGAACGGGCCATTAATTGATTGCCTGCAGGATAAAATTGAATTTCTCAAAGGGATTTAGAATTGTACCTTGTTTCTCTCCGCCCTGTATATCTCCTGCTTGAACCAAGAATGGACCAAGACCAAGTTTCTGTAGGAAGTTCACAAACCACGAGAATCACCACCTTCACATGAAGGCACACAGTCTGCACACTTGTCTCTACTTTTACCGAAGAGGCTGCAATAATCTGGGCATCTAGATGGCACGCCACATTCAAAAGCCAAAAGATACCTGAATACACTCTGAAGCAGACTCAACCTTCCAGACAACCTAACTAGGTTCCTACTCAGAATTACTTGTTACAGAATCCCTTTGACTGACAATACAGAGAGTCTGTGATACCACCTAAGCAAGGCACCTTAATTTTAGAGCCCCCCCAAGAACAGCAAGGCACTGCCCGGACAGTAGGAGCTGACGTGCTTTGCTAGTGGTTACCCGTGTGCACTGGCTGATGGATTAGAGGACACCAAGAAGAATGTGTACCAAGAGGTGATAGAGGGATTGGGTTCTAGGGAACAACTTTCAACTTGTCAGTATACATGGGACAGTCCCACAGTCACCTTGTTCTTCACATCAGCTATGTGACAAATCCACAGCTTTGATCGATTTAGGTACTAAGGCCATTTGAACCTGTCCGTCACAGGGTGCAAGTTCAGATCAGCTGTGATTGGAAGAGCACAGAGCATGGTGAGGCACGAAGACTAAGCTGCACCAGAGTGCACAGGAGGCTGCTGACTCTCAAATCTGGGATCAACAGCCCAAGCCCAGCAAACTCAGCAACAACTGCAGAAACAGTGACTCTAGCAGGACAGCAACAGAGCACGAAGCAACTGAACTAAGAGCCCAGCTAACAGACTCCAGCAATTTTTCAGGAACTTATTACAAAGAACTGAGACTAACCACTTGACAGATTTTGCCATCAATTAAAGGGCTTTAGGAAAGCTGTACCTCCACTCTGCATTATGGAGCATTAATAGTTCAGAACAAAAGGGAAGGTGGAAGCATATTTACTGAGGACTCCTCAGGCTCACAGTCCTCCAGCTACCCAGACCCCCTGGAAGCCCACGACCTGCACATGCAAGTGAAACCTATGGACCACGTACCAAAGAGGTTATTTCTGCAATTACTTTTGAGAATGTGGCAGAGCACATCTGCATCAGTTATTTGGCTGATGGTGCAGGCAGCAGCAGTGCTGCAGGAGGTTTGGTTTAGCTGGTGAAGCACACGGTAGTGAAACGTGCCGTGTTATTTAGTGAGGGTTGTGAGGAACACGATGGGATCCTGGGAAAGGGCACTAGTTCCCAGCCAGACAGCTGCACATCAGCATCTGTAGAAAACACTGCAGCAAACAAACCATCATGGAAAAAAATCAGGGGGAGATTGACTGAAGCAACTGGACAGTTTTATGACCTTTAATACCATATATAGCAATGGAAGCTAAAATATAGGTAATTAAACCCCAGGTTTTATGGTATTAGCTGATTGCTATCAGGGTTAGAAGGAATTCTGCCTGCATTTCACATGTCTTGCACAACTGCTTGGGCTACCTGCCTCAGTGTACAACAGTTTCTTCTTCTCTCTGAAACACCACGCACCGACCCATGCCAAAAGAGACAAAGCAAAGCAGACTTCCTAAGCCCACAGCTTGGGCTGGCATTGCAGTGAGGTTCTGCTGCATCTGTTACAAGTTGCTATAAACAGCCAGCTTTGGGAAGAGACACTGTGCTCACCTTCCAAAGGGTGACGGTCATTCTTTGGTAACTTGGGGGAGAGAGGAGCACTGTATGGAGGGGAATCTTGGGAATATCGCTTTGTACCCCGGCCTGGTCCCTGCAGAGTGCCGTCTAACGAACTGCTTCTGTCTAGGAAAAGAGAACAAGCCCTATTTAGGAGTGGAGATTTTCTGGGAAATTCAGCCCTGCCAGAGTCACTTGCGACTCTTGTGCACCACCAGTCTGGTAACAGCCTGCTGGAACTGCAACCCAGCTACAGCTGTCAGCGCTTACCATTCTGTACTTTGCTTTGTGAGTTTCACAGAGAAAAAGGGTGGGGATGAACCTAACAAGGATCTGGAGCCATTTTTTGCCATGCTTCACCCCAAATGGCACCTTTGATCAGCTTCATTTAATTTTTTCTCCTTCTGGCTCATCTCCCACATGATTCCTCCTCCACCCCAGTCTCTTCACCTTTTGGACACTTGCAGCCCTCAGACAATTTGCAGACACTCTATGCCACAGGCACCACTTGATTTAACTGTGCTTGAATTTTCAGTCTTTCCCTGAACGGCACCCCCAGAGCCACAGCTGTCCCTGCCACTCTTCCACCCCAGCGGTAGGGTTACAAGGTGCCAAGACCCAGCCACCCGGCACCGCAGGCACCGGGCCAGGCCTCGAGGCATCCCTCACAGATGGAAATGCTGAGCACACAACGTCACTGCACGGATGGACACAGAGAATGGGACTGCTCACACGGACAGGACAGCAGCAACGACAGCGGTACGGCTGGTGGCGACCTTGCCCCGTGTGGGCACAGCGCGGGGTACGGCCAGCACGAGGCGATGCGTGCCAGCCTGCAGCGGGCACCCTGCACCAAGGGGTGAAATGCTGGGAGACGAATGCCAGGAGCCAGACGAGAGCCTGCAGCAGCTCGAGCCACTGGTGCGGGATGGGAGGGGACTGGAGGGGTGACAAATACGGCGAGGAGTGGGTAGGACCAGACACCAACGGAGATGTGTTACACAAAACGAAGACACAAAGGAAAGGATGGGTGGGAAGCATCAGGCAGTCACAGCTTAGTTGGCTAACAAGAAACATGAAGGTAGATAAAAGCACTTGTTTTATCAAAATCCTTTTGGGAAAGGAAAGAAGCTGCTTTTACTGAGGCCCCTGGACTCCCTACAACTATGGTCAAAAACCACTGAAATACTATTAGAAAGATTAGCACTGTCCTCAGGACAGTTCCCCGTAAGAAACATTCACTGCCCAGACAGAGATGAGAAACAAACGCTCTTAGTAATGTCTTTGGATATTTTTAAATGTAGAATAGGATGCATTTCTTCACCAAACAGTCACAGAACCGCAACAAAAGGTGATTTTTTTAAAGGTTTTATCTTTTATCTTTTTTTTTTTTGGGGGGGGGGGCAGGTATTTTTAAAAATTTTTGATTGTAAAAGTAATACAAACACACAGAAGGTCAGGTTGTTGAAAATAATGCAGGGAATTAGAAAGTAAGTCAAGGCAAATTAAAGGAAGGATAAACCAAAGCAGGTCTGCAGTCAGGGTTTCTCAGTTTAAATGGCCGTTTTTAAGAAAATACGGAAATAGATATGCACACACAGCTGCATGCTGTGGATCATCAGGAGAAAAAGAAAATGCCCTTATTTCAAAGGATGCCTTAAACCTCTTGAATGTGTATTATCAGTGAGGGAAAGCTGGCAGGAAAGGACCCCACATCTAACTGGAGAGGGATCACTTAGAGAAGGATGCTGAGAACATGCAGATCATTTACAGGAAACGAAAGGGACCTGCTCAGCCAGGAGATGTACGCCTCAGAGGACAGCACGTACAGGGACGATGTGAACTTTGAACTCTGTCTTCTGACAATGCAAAGGAAAAGACAGCACTATGTCCTCCACTGCAAAAGTAACAAGTGTGTGGGTACAGAGCTAGAGGACGTCATGCAGAAAGGTAAAGACTGGGAAAAAAGCTTGTCCTTGTCTGTGAATTATGGATCAGCTTTGGGGAATATTTCACCTCCCTAACTTGGAAAGTTTGTGGGGAGGGAGTACATCTGACCATGCCAGCATTTGTGCTGCCAGGAGGGGCTGTGTTGCAGTCAGGCTCTGCTCAGCTCGTCCCATCAAAGCAGCCCCTTCAGGACACTGTAACTTGCCCTGGCTGCACTGCTGCTTCCTCCCTGTCTGCAGAGCATGGCTACGCAACGAGCCTCAGCGGAGATGTGCTTGGGACATCCACCTGAATCCAGACATACCAAAGCCACCTTCTGCTTTGCTTCCAATTGCAGCAATGTTGAACACTGGGACAAAGCCCAAAGGCTAACAGAAATGGGACAGGAATGAAAACACACACCATTGACTAAGAAGGAAAAATCAAATAACCAAATTTACTCAAGCTGGGGGGGGGGAGGGGCATAAGGGTGCAGTAGGAAGCAGAAATAAAACAAAAGAGAAGGTGCATGGGTCTGCAGCAGTGACTTCAAACAAAACTCAGTGATGGACTGCTCAGCAGGACTGGAAATTCAGTGCTAGCATTTAAAAAGGAAGGGGAAAAACGATATAGGCAACTGAATGCTTATGTATGACCTCAGCAGTACTGCAAGGCTTCTCAGAGGTTCAGAAGGGAGGGTAAGTATAACATTGCACTTACACACAGCACATACTGCAGTAGGCACTTATCAGAGGTGACTAACCCAACAGCTTCTGTATCATGGGAAAATATCTCATTTATCAGACAACGGAAGCATGGTCAATCTCATTTACCTAGAATTCAGCAAGGCATTGGTCATAGAAGACCAACATTCAATATTTTATAGTAGCTTTGGCACAGATCTTAGAAATTCACTGATGAAATCTGCTGATGTCTTCCTAAGTTGGGCCAGACAAGACAGTATTTGATTAGAAAAAAAAAAATAAAGAACAGAGTACCAGACAGGAGGTAAGTTCAGATGCAAAACGCAGATATGTATGTGACACATTAACCTGCAAGCTGTGAACCTGCAGCTGACAATGATGGATGGGAAGAACAGGGTACATGACCAGCATGGGACACTCATCACCTGCTACAAGGACGCAGCAATGAAAAGTGGCTTCTTGTGAAGACGGTGGTGCCAGTGCTGTGGCACCAGGCCCTCACCAGATCTTCCCCAGAGTGCTGGGTAGCACCCTGGTCACCTCACTGAAGTCTGACCCCAAGCAACACTACGTGAGGAGAGCAGAGAGTGTTTCTTACTAACACAGATGGAAGGCGAGCTCCCCTGCAGGATACAACTGCTTTCTAACGGCCTCCAGAAGGAGGGGAACTAAGTCAAGCTAAAAGACGATGCTAAGACGAGACGACACAGTTACCAAGTAGCCCAAGAATAAATTTGGACTAGAAACTAATTCCCAACTAATTAAAAACAGAGCTCCAGAGTTAATCGAAGCAATGCTGTGGTGTCCATAATAACAGGATCCCAACTCAGTGGTGCAGAGGGTTCATCCCGTCCGTGTTTTCGGATAGCTCCAGATCAGACCTACCTGCTCACAGTATTTCCCAGCCCACTTCTATTCCTATCAACAATAATCAACTTTCCATTTTCTTGCAAATCCACAGTTTCCTGATGTGTAACTCGATCCATTCCTGCTGCCTTCTGTGGCTAGGACCTACAGAGACTGCGTGCCACGTCGCAACTCCATGGCAACACAGCCTGACCTACAGCTGCTGAAGGCTTCTTCTGCCCCAAGCACACCCACGAGCCCCCCAGCACACCGACGGCGGTGCTCGTGTCACGGTTACGGGCATTTGTTCTGGGAACCGAGACCAGTTCCCACCAGTGACTGTTTTCTGGAAGAACTGGCCTGCTCAGGCACATGAGTGCCTGAGCCACACAGGAAACAAAGCAAGACACACGGAGCTGGAGGTGAGTCCATGGCAGCCTTCTCACTCGGTTTGATTTAAGCAAATATAAAACCACATCCTCATTCTTCCATGACCAGCACTAAGCTCTAAACATTACTGGTACTGTTTCTTTGCCCTCACCAGAAATCACTGTAATGCACAGATGTTTATCATCTTTCAGGCGCTTAAGAGAGGTGTTAGATCCCTGAGACATCACTGTGAACTAGACGACTAGGGGTTATCACTTCTCTAGACTGTGGTTAATCTTTAATCCTGGCAAACACTCTAACAAAGAGCTCCCAGTGGGCAGATCTCAGGACTGTGCCACGTTTGGTGCTTGCCTGTACTTCCCCCGCTTTTCCTCCTACCTTCCTGCCCTGCCCTTGGTGCAGACACCCGTGACATCCCACGGCAGCTCCCAGCCCCATGTGGGCTACAGGACCCTCTCCACCCACACCTGCTGCCATGCCCAGACACAGGACCCTCTTCCTCACATTCTGGCTTTGCTCTAGTTCATGATGAGAAGGTAGATCCACACAGAAACATGGAAACATTTCTTCTAATTGGGGGTCAGCTAGAGGGGTAACCTCTAGTTCCAGCAACTAGTCCAGCCGCTCCACTACCTGCCACAGCAGCCAACCAGCCTCCTACAGCTCTCCTTACACCACAGCAAGAATCCCTGCTCCTGGCCCTGCACAGCTCCAACTTGCAGGCAGCTGCTCAGCGCCAGAGGAAGCAGAGGACACTCACCCGAGACCCTCATGCTCTGAGCACTGTTGCCATTCCCCTCCCCAGACACGTGTGCTTTGAACACCAGCCTGGCCATGCCACCCAGCTGGTTTCACCATCCTCACTGATGGCTCCTGGAAGCACAGGAGTGAGAGGGCAGCAGGAGAGAGCAGAGAGGCAGGGGAGCAGAGCACAGAGAGCAGAGCACAATGCACGAAGCACTAAAGCACCAGGTGCCTAAGCCTCACACTTTTCAATCTTCCCTTAAGCAGTTTTTCCTAAGACCTTATCCTTTTCCATTAGAAATTCTTCTTGCTCTTTATGTAAGAGCCATAATTATCCAAAGGATTAACTCTGAAAGACCTCAAATGGTACAACAGTTATTCACTGGCTTGGAGAGTGAAGGATGCGTAACAGGAGAGCAGATCAGCACGAGACATTTGTCAACCATGTAACGAGGGTGTAGATAGCATCTATCCTCTTCACAAGCAGAGCTCCTACAGGATTAGCTCCCCCAGAGCCCCACAGCCAGCCCTGGGAGGCAGCTGTCGCCCCGGGGTTGCTGCCACCACATAGCACTTGTAGGGAAAACTACTGCTTTTCTTGTTTCCCAGTGCTTTCATTTAAAAGCAGTTTTGCAGCCTGATGATTTGCATCGTGGCATGAGCTATCTTGCCAGGGGTGTGCTGCTTCAACGCAGTGGAGCATTAGCCTCGCCAAGAAAAACAAAGCCACCTTTGCCTCGGATAGCTGCAGCGTGTTTCCATCCCCGAGCAGGCTGAGCTTCCGCTGAGGGCTGGACTGCTGGCAGCAGATTTGTAGCCACGCTGGAAACTGCTCAGGTAGGATTTAATTAAATTCCTAATTACAGTTTACCTACTACTTGTTATCACTCTTCCATTTCTTATGCAAAGGCTTTCACTAATTCCTAGCTGGCTGAAGTCACTCTAATCAGATTACAGGAAGCGGGAAGGACCGGGGGACGAGGAGAGGAGGGAAGACAGGGAGACAGCACGGATGAACGGAAACCTACAGGCAGAGATGGAAATCGGACTGACAGGCAGAAAATAAGGCAAGTTGAATGCTAAGCGAAAAAGAGCCCTGTGGGCATGTGAATGACACTGCTGCGATGCGATGAACCCTGCAGAGAGGGCTCGGAAACACGCTCCTGCCTCCTGAGTTAACGATAAAATCTGGGTTAAGGCGCGGAGCACCTGGGGTCCCTACAGCGCCGCCCCCGCCCCAACTCCTACCTGGTAGATACCTGTCGTGGTCGTACTCGTGTGAGCGCTGCATGTGGCTGTTCTGAGTGAAAGGCTGGTTCCCAAAGAGGTTGTCACTGCGGAGATTGTGGCAGAGCTTCTCCAGGAAGCGGAGGACGTAGGTGATACTGTTTACTGCTGGCAGGTTCAGAGTGTGCTGTTCCCGATCAAACACAGCTGGAGACAGAAACAAACAGAGCCCAACACGTAAACCCCCAGCAAAGGCAGGAGACTACGCCCAGGGCTGCACAGCCAGCTTCTGTATCTCAGCATCACTGGTCTAGACTAGAGCAAACAAAAGCCACTGCCTTCCGCTGGCTGGGCGCTGGCGAGCTCGCCTCCCTGGGACAGGCTAAAACCAGCCTGCTGCACCCGCTGTCAGGACCAGGCTGCACGGCTGCGAAGCCGCGGTACCGGGAGCGGAAAGGTGCTCAAGGAGGGGCCTGCACTCCCGCCATCCGGGTCAACTGGGGCTTAAGAGTAAAATTCAAACTCGGGGGTAGGGGAAGAGAAGCTTCGCGGTACTGCTTTTCCTTCCACTAGGAGTTGTGCAAGGCCCTCCGTTCCGTCCCCTGCTGGGGTCCAGGCAGTGCCGGAGGTGCCGCACAGCGCTCCCCAGGCTCGCAGCAGCAGCTGGGCCTGGAGGACAAGCTACTGCTCTGCTCTGCAGCAGCCACTAGCTGTTGCTTCACTGACACAGATTTCTGGCAAGAAAGAGAAGACAGAAATCTTCTGTCTGCCCCTGGCCCATGACTGTACCAAGCTTCAGGAGAGACATCTTCCAGCGACTGAATTCTTGCAATGACATCTCTGAAGGCAAAGTGCTGCAGGCCAGTTCTCACCTGAGATGACCTCTCCCCCGTGGCCTTGTTTTAAGAAGGAGAAGACAGTTTTCTGATGATAAGCGCAATCAATGCAGGCCTGCACTGCTTGCTGAAGGACAACAGAAGCTCGAGCTGGTCCAAAATGATCCGGCAGCTGCTGAACTTTCTTCTTGTCTAGGTGGGGCCCAGTGCTGCCGTTCTTGTTCAAGTAAATGCAAACTGCCAAGATGAGAAACGTGTTTGCCATTAACCCACTCAAGAAATCAAGAAACAGATGCCTAAAATCCAGCCTGAGGGATAGAGATGCCCAGGTTTTAAGACTGTAAAATCACTCACAAAGTGTGAGCGAATCCATCACCTGCCTGCCTGCAACCTAACGACAGAGACACTTTTAGGGGGAATCACCTCTAACGCCTTCCTGCCTCATCATGCTCACCTTTCACACTGCTGCTATTACTCCTATGCTTTCCCCAGTGCTCAGGCTCCCAAAGGCAGGCTGCAGTGTGGTTCCTGGGCCAGAAAGGTAAAGTGGCTGAGATGTTCAAAGGAAATGAAGGAATGCAGCCCCAACTCTGGGGGGAAACTGGGTTCTTTGGGTTCCTCTGAAAATTGCGTTCTGGGGAAACAGAGGGCTCTACCCATATCCAGTGTCTGAACATATAAAACCCATCTTTGCATGAGACTTTCCTGCCCAGGTTCACCTTTGGCTGTATCTCAGTCGTAGCAGAGCACATGCTTTGCACTGGCTGCTTCTATTCCTCCCCTGCTCCCTCTTGTCCCTGCTTCTCTGGCTGAAGCTGAACAGCCCATGGCCACGGCTGCTCAGCAGGAGCTGTTCTGCACCTTGCTCTCTTCAGCAGCTGTGCCTGGAATAGTTTTGGAGAGCCCATACTATGAACTCCTGAGTGCAGCTGCTCACAGTACTGCCTCTAGGCTGTATGGGCCACACGAAGTGCACTTTGAGGGCTTTGGAGTCACTAACATGCAGGTGACAACTCAGGGAAAGGGATCTCTGCATTTGTTAGATGGACTTGCAATCCTCCTATGGCTTCATATTTCCAGTATGGATAAATGAACAGCTGGTCTGAGCTCACGTGCCTCTTTTCCTCCTGACACACTCTGAGTTAGGCCAGCCTTTGTTTGTGGAATCTTAAGGTTTGCTGGTTTGTGTGTTTGTGAAGAAATGGGAGTGCTGCGGCGTGCCACCTCCTGACTGCTGCAGCTCCTAACTGTGCAATCTTTTTGAGGATGCAGTTCGAGACCCTTACCTGTGGGAGCCTGCATGGCAGAGCTGGGGATTGTAGCAGCGTCCTGGGGCACAGTGCTTGTGTCTGGTTCTGGGGTACTGGTTGTTGGAGAGGTGGGTGCTGGGTTCAGCAATGTCCTAGGTTTCCTCTGCAGAAAAAGATGAGGATATTTCTCCTTTTATCCCTGCTCTCCTATACCACCCATGATCACTACACTCTCTTCTCTGCATCCAACAAACAAGGCACTGTGGAACATGACATACTTCTGATGGCGATGACGGGGAGTTTCAAGAACCTACTTAATCAATGTGTACATTCTAGAAACCACGATCCTCCAAAAAATAACAAGCCTGAGATCCGCCACCTCTGCTTGACTTGACTCTGCTTGACTAGCTACACATGATGGACAGAAGAGCTTATTCCACCATTTGGCCAACCTGTCATGATCATAGCATTTGCCGTGCTACTTCACAGCTAATGCAGCTCCAAAGACATGGTTTCTTGATGGAAATGATCTTTAGGACACAGACATTCTCTACAACTCTGAGGCTGGACTCGGAGGGATATTCCCAGCCCCACACACCCCTCTGGTCTCCTACTTGCTGCAGTCACACAGCCAGAGGCTGAGACAAACGTGCACAAATACACGCATGCACCATCCCATGGCAGAACTTGCAGCACCTGCTTTTCACCCGCCTGCATCAGCATCAGCTTTTACCTTACTGCCAGGCTTTGGGCCTCTCTTTCTGGGGAATTTCAAAGGCTCCACTGACTTGGAGGGTGTAGGCATGGGGTGATGGATTAGCGCTTTGGTCGTTCGACCACGCTTCTTCCCTGTTTTGCGACGCCTTTGCCCTTGTTGATGCCCCAAAACAGTCTTTGTGCTACTGTGCATGCTAGGTTTCTCCGAGTTTACTTCGGAGGCAGGTAAAGGGCTCTTTGGAATCACAACTGAAATAAAAAGAGAAAAAGCAAATATAATTAAATCAGGCGAGAATGAAAACAAGAGCAGCCTCCATCTTTAAACAGTGTCATATGGAAAAACCTGGAGTAGTCACAGTCCCCTGAGTGGAGGCTACTGCTCTCCATGCCAGAGTAAAAACCAAACGCACCGATCCGGGGTTCAGCACCTGAGCTGTGGGGCGCTGTGGCTTAGCCTGGGCAGGCTGAGCTCTGGAAGGATCGCACTTCCAGCCATACCTTCTTCCTGAAAACAACTGGCACTTACAGCTCTTCCATCTGCAAGTGGAGACCTGCCAGAGATCAGGTAAGATGCTCCGAAAGCATTCCTAGGGGAAGGATCAGTCAAGACCTGCCTGACAGTACAGAGCCAGGGCTGTGCTGGAAATCCCCTTTCTTGAGAGGCTGAGGTCAGATTTGCTCTGTCCCTAAATTACCAGTGAACTGCAGGGGAAGGCACCACTATGTCCTTGATTCCTGCAAGGACGACTGCTCCCAGCCCAAAGCAATAGCTCCTATCTCAGTTACTTCAGCTCCTCTCAGGTACTGCCAGAGGTGAGAGATGAGACAGTATCTGGCTGCAGACAGCACATGGTCCGATCCTTCTTAGCTTCTCAAGCTTTCCACGACAAAACCAGGTTTTTCTGGTGTATTTCCCCCAAATCCCCTGCATTTGGTCATTCATCTTTCCCAAGCCCCACTAAAGGCTGGAGATGAGCTGGCCCAGCTGAGCAGACCAATGCCTCTTTAAACTTCTGCTACAAGGAAACAACACAGCCCTCCTATATTTTGAAAACTGCACGGCGACATTTATGATGTCTCATTTCTCAGATCTGGAAACCTCACTGTGTGTTCAATATGGGGGCTGTGACTTCAAAAAAAACCCAACAACTTCCACCTTTTGACGTGGGGTGCGTTATAGTTAAGAAGAAAACCTTGGCAAGGAAAGCAGAGATTCATAGAAGAGCGATACCAGGATGGCAAGCGGCACCAGCAGTGACAACTGTGGGTGCATAAGGAGAATGTAAGGTTCTCGAATGAGAGCTTTCCAAGCAATCACCCTAAGCAAGGACAAAGAAAGCCCTTCCTGCCGACACCTCGGGAGCAGCTAACAGCTGCGTCCCAGGTTTTAGGGGTCTGGAGAGGATCCCTGGGCTGCAGGGTGGCAGCAGCAAGGCAGGAACAGGAGCCCCGGCAGCCCCAGGGCAGGGAGCTAACTGCTTCGCTGCGGCGTGGCTGTTGGGGAGGGTCTGCGTACGGCTCCATCAGCGGCTGCTGGCTTCGGCCTTACACAAATGAGCCCCTGGAAGTGGAGGATCCTGCTCTGCTCCTCCGGTCTGACTGTGCTTCATTCACCAGCTTCCACGCTGGGGGCCTCCCCTGAGAGCAGACCTGTGCCTGGCTGCCAGCTCCCGGACACCCACAAACTGTACATTCAGCTCAAAAACAGGGCGTTTTGCTGCCTCGCTGGGCAGGACCAGGAGACCTCCCACGTGCCAGGCGTGCCTCTGGTCCATGCTGCCACCAGGACACCAGCCTCCAAGAACTAGCCCCACTCTGTTCTTCAGGTGAGCAGGGCAAGAGTTACAATGCCCTCAACTTATTTTCTTTTCTTTTATTTTTAATCTTTATCTCCTTGCCTTTGTGCACTACATGCACTAGGGCTGCGTGTTGGATTCTGCTGATAAGCTCGCAGTCATTGAGTGATTTACCTAAGATTTACCTCATTTCCGAACTAACATCATCTTGTGCCAGGTGGATACAGAGAGTGGTGGCAGAAACAGAGTCGAGGGATTTTGCTGCTCTGTGTCTAAGATAATAACATCAACAACAGTGCTACTTCTCTGGCAAGAAAAGGAATGCAATACACAAATGCTTGTTACTGTGTCACCCACCGAGCTGCGTGAGCAGAGAGGAGCAGCAGGGCCAGGTATCCTCGGCCAAATCGCTGCGCCTCCAGCCTTACATCTGCACAGCTGACTTCAGCCAACGAGTGTTTGTGTAAAGGGATTGACTAGAACCCTGTCAGTTGATAGAGCACGGATAAACATGGGTAAAGAACTCAGTACTTTAAAGAAACTTCCAAACATCAAAGCCATGTGTAAAACAAAGTGGGAGGCATTTTGTTTGCACTCTGCAGCAACACTAAGTGTCCGAACAAAGCTGTGCCATAGCGAGGTTTCGCTAAGTTTCAAGAGAAATTGTGGATTCTACAGACGAGCTGTGAAGCAACCTGAGTTACCAGTAAAAAAAATGAAGAAAAACAAAAACAAAAAACACACCACAAAAACAGAAATAGTAAATTTGGAAAGTTAGGATGCCATGAACAGCTGCTGAACTGCACCCTCCCCAGCTTGAACTGCATCTCAGAGAAATCCCAGTGCCAGGGAAAATGCAACTGACGTCAGGCGGACTCCCCGTTTGCATGATTTCACTACAGAATTTTGTAATAAAAAGTCATTTTTTGGGGGTAGAATAAATGCTAGAAAGTTCCATTGTCCACTTCAGTCACAAAGATATTAAAAGTAACATTAATTTAATGTCAAGCTTTACCACTCACTGCTTTCTTTTTAGGGAAATAAAAGCCCCTTACACGGTACGTGCAGAGCACACGGCAATTTCTTTCAGCCACAGCAGAGGAGATTGCACTGAGGCTGCTGCCATGACAGCCCATCCTTGCCACCGCCCTGTGCTAATTCATTTCATAAAAAAACACCAGCCTGTGCTAATTCATGTCTCTTGTCCCTGCCAGACGTACTGAGCCACACACCATCAGCTTTTGAAGAAGGAGACAGCAGCCACTCGGGGAGATCTGTGCTGTACCAAAAACCACAGGGCTCCGGCTGCTCGTGCTGCTTGAGCCCTTGCGGTGACCTGCTGTCTCCTAAGGGAGCCTAAGGTTTTTTGGTATGTGCCTGCAAACTTTCCTCCAGGATTTAAGCCCCCGATGGTACAAGGATGGGGTGAGGATGCAGGCGGGAGCTGCTTGTCCTGCAGCTGCAAACCACTGCCCACATACCCTTACCTGCCAGAAGCTGCAGTTTTTGGGTCTCATTCAGCCGGTGGTGGTGCCAGCCCAAACGTGAGCACAGCTGCCAGGGCCATCCCCATCTCCTGTCCCTTGTCCCTCATGCTCACCTTCGCCCTGTGGTGCGCCATCAGGAGAGCAAAATTTTCTTAAAGCTACTTGAGGCCCTCTTCAAAAATCAAGTTTGCTGTCACTGAGAAATGCAACCTCTGCCTCAGGGCTTTGGTGCTCATATGGGCTCTGAGTAACCGAGCACAGCTCCAAAGCTGGCCTTGCTTTAGGCATGGACCCAGGCCTCCAATGGTCCCTTCCAACCTGCATCATTCTCTGAACTCATGGTTAATCATTTCAGCCCGTTACTGGAACGGAGAACTAAAGAGAGCAATTTTTCTGCTGCTTCAGCTCACTGAGCTGTCTTGCTTTGGGTTGTACAGGCACCAGGACCTAGAGAGATGGAACCACTCCTTTGGGGCTGGTATGGGAGCAATTTGCCTGCAATGAGGATCATCGCCCTGCAGATGCAGGATCAAAGACTGCTGAACTCGGAGGCAAAGAAAAGACTGACATCACTAACTGGTTTATTAACCATCAAAGGATTAGTTTAAAAAGAAGTCCCAAGCTTCCTGCAGAAACAAAGAGACTTGACAGAGAATTCAAGACTATTTCCTAATGCCAAAATATCCCCTGCCAGTCAGCACATGGCTGCAGCAGTACCTGCAGCTACACACCACAGTTACTCAAACTGTTATTTACTGGACACTCTATAAAACATAAGTTGCTGCCCACACTTTGAGGTTTTGCTAATCATACTAGAAAGCAGCATTTGTCACTCATCAGCTTCTCAGGCTTGTCTGAGCTTGAAGACGACAAATTTATGTCCTTGTGGTAAGAATAACAAAGCCAACACATGTAATAAAATGTGGAACAGAAGGGTTTAGGATGGAGAAGAGTTCCCTACCTTTCTGTCCATTACACCAGCTAATTACCAGTTTGCATTTTACTAACAGCCGTCGGACCACCATCTCCATTTTATGTGCTAAGGGCTCCTGAACTCGGATGCAGCTGTGGGTCATGAACCCTCCCTCTGGGTATGGCAGTAGTGACCACTGGGGTGTAAAGCAGGCGGTTTACGAGAAGACTGAAAATGACGTTTGTATCCAGTGTAAAGCATCTATGAGGAACACCCTGCAGGGCACACCCAACTGCTGGTTTTTTTTTTTGTGCTCCAGCTTCAGCACTGTGTGGTCAGAAGCACGAAGCAAAGATACGGGTTACAGAGACACATTTAAGGTAAGCGCAATTGCCAACACCCTGCTGAGAACTGGCTGAATCCTCTGGATGCAGCCGTCCAAACCCAGACTTCCTGACAAGGACCAGCACTCAGTGCCCGTCTGAGAGCAAGATGTGCAAACTTCAAACCTCTGTGATTCTTCTTGAAGCAGAGGCTGTTATTATTGTCCACCACAAGCGCGTGCAGGAGCTAAACCCGGGCTCCAGGAGGGCTCCAGGTTTGACACGTCCCCAGCTCTCAGCAGCTGGGCAGCCAGAGCAGAGGGGCAAGGGGCAGAGCACAGCTGGGAGACGCAGGTGTCCTGGAGCACAGCAAACGTGCACTGTCCTCCAGATCCTGGAATTTAGAAGTCAGAATCCAATTATTCGCATGATCTAATATTTCCTGCAGGGACTCCAGCTTGAAATGGCTCTTTGACCTAAGGCTGAGAGACCAGAGGATGTACCTAATACAGCAGTACAACAAGAGGATCCAAGCGCTGCATGATTCAGCATGTTCTAGATGTTCTCATGATCAGTTATCTTAATTCTCAAAGATGCTTTTTTTTTTTTTATATATATATATATATCCCCTAAACCACAAAATTTGTCTAGTTTCAGTTTTTGGCTACTGAGGCTTGCTGGGAGCTATGAGGTGCTTTATTCAATGTCCCCCTCCCGGATCTGACTTGCC